ACCTACTTGGTAATTTCTACTACCTATAAAATCTACATCCAGTGGAATTTGGAAGACACTCTGGTAACACAATAAAGGGTAAAAAAACAGTCCAAGCCACTAGGAGATTGAGTAGAAATTTCCTTTTGAAAGAATCTCTGGATAAGACCAAATCTTATCAAAAGAGAATGCTACTGTTTCAAAGTGCACTTTTAATCTAACATTTTACAAAAAGATATCTTTTTGTAAAGGAAGGCAAAAGCTGCCAAATATGACAAATATGTAGAAAATAACACAGATTTTTTTTCCAGTGAACTCCAGCATGAGAAAACAATATAAATATTTGAACTGACAGTAACACAGATTATAAATTAAATCATTCAAAATGAGTTAAAAGCATGTGTTCTAATTCTGCAGGGAAAAAAATAAACATACAAAAGGAGGGTGGGAGACATCTATCAAATGCTTCTCTTGTGGCAGAAAATAAGTATTTTGCATACATTATTTCATTTAATCCTCACAAAAACCTTGTGAAAGGCCTTATCATGAACATTTTATAGATGAAGAAATGGAAGCTCCAAAGGTTGAGGAACTAGCTCAAATCGTTAAGTGTGACAGCTGGGGTTCAAACCAGAGTCAGACTCCAAAACCAAAGCTGCAGTAATGACTTAGTTTGTATATCCTACTACAAAGGCCAGTAGGGAGAGGGGCCATTCAGGGCAATTTCACTTTATTTTTTCCCTTTGTCTTGGGTATTGACACTGACGCAATCAGCTCCTAAAGCTGCTTTCACCAGGAACTCTTATCGTCACCTGGTATCTCTACCAATAACTATGAAGGCATCTTGTTGCAGATTCACGGCTTCTTTCTCACTGATGTCAATAAGCACTCTCTGCATATCTTGTTCCTCAGCATTTGCCAAATCAGTAGCATGTTCCTCCCAGGATGGTGCCAACATCTCACCCAAAGGATCAACCAATTTTACACCATTGTCTTCCTAAAATGAAAAACAATAAGCAATCTGAATATTCATGAGGATAAGTTGTTCCCCTAACAAAAGACAGTGTGATGGCTGAGTAGTTTCAATAGTTACTACCCAATATTAATATCATGCACTAGACTAGGTGTTTTACATGCATTATCTCATTAAATGTTCATGACACACATCAATTTAACTAATAATCCTATTATTACTCCAATCTTTACATTGAGAAAACTGAGATTCAGAGAGGCTGGGTAATTTGCTTATGATCACACAGCTAACAAGTATCATTGCTGATTTTAAAACATCAAGTTTATCCAATTCTTAAATCTGAGAATCACTATGCTACACTAGTTTTTTTTTAAAGGCTATTATCTGTGCATTCACTATCAAATAACTGATGGGCATAACTAGAGTATAGTGAGGGCACCTAAAGATCCTTCTTGCTATGACTCTGGACTCAAGCTGATAACTGACTCCCAACCCTGTTCTGCTCAAATTCCTGGAAAGAAATAAGGTGTAGTTAAGAGTGAATGGCAATTGAAAGAAACGGCTCAGAATTGTTTTGAAAATTGCTTCCGGAACTAGCAATAAATGCGGAGCTCTTCCTACAAGTCATCAATCAATTTTGGGAATTTATACATTTACACATTCACACATTTGGAGAGATCACAGATTTAGAAGCTGAACAGGCAATGTCCCCATTTGGGTGGGAAGAGAAGATTTCAATCCCTCACTGACCTACAGAGCTTTAACTTGCTGATGACTTAGCTACAAAAATCTCATAATCTCATGCTCTAGCAATCAAATAGAAGCATATTATTCAAACTATGTATTACTGGGCTATAGGCAATACAGAATAAAATAGTTCTACTTCTTGGAAAAAAAGGTTAACCAAGATATAGAAACAACTTAAGTGTACACGGATAAATGAACAGATAAAGAATATGTGATATATATGTATATACACAATAGACTATTATTCAGCCTTAAAAAGAATGAAGTCCTGCTATTTACAACATGGATGAAACTGGAGGACATTATGCTGAGTGAAATAAGCCTGACACTGGACAAATGCTGCATGATCTCATTTATATGGGAAATTTTAAAGGGTAGAACTTATAGAAACAGCTTGATTGTGGTAATCATTTCACAATATATACATATATCAAAACATGACACTGAACAACTGGAATATATACAATTTTTACTTGTCACTTGTACCTCAATAAAGCTGAAAAAATAAAAATAAAAATAACTATGTCAAAAGGAATACTTTGATTAAAATCTTAATTGTCATGAAGACTAAGAACCATTGGGCCTCATGAGTATTCTGCCCAAAGCTCACATTTGGATCCCTGGACCCACCTGTTTGGCTATTCATTCAGAACAAGAAACTATTACCTAGCTATAGAAAACCTGTCTGGAAATTTCAAAATATGTCTTTTCAAATGTTTGCCCTTCCCTCACCCATCCCCAATCTCTTTAATCACTAATAAATTAATAGAGGCCTGATAACTGTCTCAATTCAACTAATTGGAAGGACATTCTGTTATTTCTCTAATATTGGCACTCCCTCCAAAATGAGTCTCATTTCATTCTCTACACACCCTCTTGGGAGTCATGACTTGAATGACCACTCTCTTAAAAAAGAGTTGCTTCAAATCCAAAGGAACATATAAATGAGAAGGCACATTCCTAGAATCAAAGTTTGTACTTTGGGTCAAACTGCTCAGATGCTAGGGTTTAATCTTGTAAATAATGGTTTGCTTCATCAGAGAACTAAGGGCTTTACCTCAGGATTGTGTGATGCTGTTACCATGACTCCTATGGTGGATTTTGTCTGTTTTGACCTCAGGACAGCTAACAATCCCATGCGAAACATGACATGATCAAGATGTTCTGCCTTCGTTCGAAATCCAGCAGTCCCATATTGAAGAATGAGTCCATTGGGCTTGGCATGTAATGCTGAGTGTTTTGTAATAACACCTAAATCCATGTCTACAAAATTAAGAAATATTTTTCAGGCATAAGAAATCTTTCAAGGATCATTTGCTTCAAAAACTGCCAACCCAACCTAATAGGTCTGCTTCATTCTGAACCACCCCAAGAACCATATGTTTGAGAGAGCAAAGAACAGTTGAGTAAGTCCTGAGGGTTAGAATTACCTAGAAAATCCTGCTCAATTCGTATTGTTCACCCTAGAGCAGATTCAGGGAAGAAATCAGTCTGTCCACCAACTCATCTCCCATTTTGGCTCTAGGAGTGAGCCTGCATCTAGGGTGAAATTACAATGGTCCACTAGCAATTAAAACGGAGATTTTACACCTAAGTTCGGAGAATCTTAACAAGATCAAAGGTTACCTCATTTTTATAAAAAGGAAAACATACATAAGTTAATGCGGGTAGCTGGTAGACCAAGACCTAAGGTCAGATTCTCCAGTGGACTGCATGACTACATACCTCAAAATATCAGGAAATCTGTGTGGTTCTTTTGCTATTCCTCCCAGGCTAGAGACATTTTCCCAAAGGAAAAACAAAGGGTAATAGTCCTCCAAGACTGACCAGATCTCCAAATACACCTTGCCAAAAAACCAAATGGATTTTTCCATTTTCATAAGGAGAATCAGAACACCCTTCTAAGACCTGAAACTAGCAACATCTTCTTAAGTAATGCCACCTTTTTTTACCTTTATTTTAAAAGTCAAACATTAGCCCTTAGCACACTAACACTCCCTTTTAGAGGGTACTCCAATTAGGTAGAACTCGGAGTTTAGACCTCAGTTCAGCAGTGCATACCCTCAAGTGGCCCATATACTGCGCACTTCCTGGGTCTATTCATTCCCAGTTAATCCAGAAATGAGGAGCAGTCCCACAGCTACTGGCCTCATGATCTTGTTCTCTTTATTGTCTTTCATTACTTCAATGAATAAAAATTAATGGAAATGGTAAAAAATGTTTGCTTTTGTTCACCTGGGAAAAGCTGGAATTCGGCAAGCTAATTTAGTTCCTACCAAAGTGATCAAATCTCTTTCACAAGGATGAGTACGTTTTTGTAAAAACTGACCAATCAGTAATGCATCCTGATTATTCATTACGGCATAAACCACTCTTGTTAAATGCAGAAAATCTAAAAAAAAAAGGGGGGGGTCATGATAATGCTTCCACTTTTTACCACGTTTTAAGTACTCAAACTACAGTCAATGAGTATGCGAATGCTCTTATTAAAAGTGTGCTTTCAGGGCCGGCCCGGTGGCGCACTGCTACAGTGCGCTGCTTGGGAAGCGCGGCGGCGCTCCCGCCAAGGGTTCAGATCCCACATACAGACCGGCACTGGCTGAGCGAGGTGCGGGCGCAACACCGAGGGTTGTGATCCCGTAGCCGGTCCCGGTCGGTACGGGCGCGACACTGATGGTTGCGATCCGTTGCCGGTCACGAAAAAAGACAAAAAGGAAAAAAAAAAAAGTGTGCTTTCAGGGCTGGCCAGTTGGCTCACTTAATTACAGCGTGGTGTGATACCCGTGTACCCGCCAGCAGACAAATAAATAGAATAAAGAATGTTTCCCAAATCCAAACTGTCCACTAGAAAAACTTCTCTCCATTCAAATTTCGTTGGTTCCTCTCTCCTTCCAGCCTCCAGCCTCCGAATCACCACACGACTCCCAGCACTCAACCGTGAGGCCCCCACCGAGGCCGGTGGGCGAGAGCCCCCAGCACGAGACCCTCGGGCCGGCCCGACCAGCCCGCTCCCGCGGCGCAGTGGCGGGTAGGTGTGTCCCGCGCGCGCTCCGTCGGTCAGACGGCCGGGTCAAGCCGAGGACGCGGCCCGCTTGGCATCCACCGCACCCCTACCGACTGGAACGCGCCCTTCTCACCTCCCAGCCTCGGGCCCCGCTTCCCTCTGCCACAAGACCCCGCGCCCCTCGACTGGGCAGAGCCCTCCAGCCGATCACGGCGGGGGAAGGTCCGCTGGCCCCGCCCCGCCCCCCCCGCCGGTCACGCGCAGCTCGCGCCTGCGGAACTGCGGTTGAGGTTCTCAGCGGGCTCTGGGGCTGTTGCCATTGAATGACCAGGAAGGGTGAGGCCCCTGCGGTGGCCCCGGGTTGGGGCCGAGGGTCGCGGGTGCTCAGAGCACTGCAGTCGCGGATACGCAGGCTTCGCCTCCAGATCTGGGCCTCAGGGGGAGGCAGGCTCCGCGTTCCTGGGAAGCCGGGGGCCCTACCGGTCTCGGCTGGGGGCGGGAGAAGGGAAACAGCCCTGATATGCGGCCCCAGAAAAAAGTGGCCTCCGCCACGGTGAGCGCCACCCGGCTTCCCGCATCCCCCTCTCATTATCGAGGTTCCCCCAAAACTTTGAGTCCGGATAGCCTTCTCAGACCGCCGATCTCTCCCTTGGTACCCCCTCCCTCAAACTCGCCCTGTCATTTTATTTACTTACCTCTAAGACACCGCCCCCCCGCCCCCAGTCTCGGCTCATCGCGGTAGAGGCCAGGTGAATCCAAATCGTTAGGAGATCCCGGGATGCTACCCCGGGCCAGTGGCTCCCGGGAGAGGCAGAGAGGCCCGCCCCGCCGGGACCGAGGGGTGGCGACTGGCGCGGCAGGGACCTTGCGACCCCAGACCCAGGGAATCCAGAGCCCCGCCCGCCGGCACTGCGGCCCTCCCTCGCCGCAGCGTCTAGCTCCGCCCAAGCCTGAGACCTGGGTGGGATTCGGAAACCTGGCGACTGCTTTTCCAAGCATTTAGGCTTGCGTAGTGTCTGCAGATGTCGTTTGTCGGCCACCTGCCACGGGATAATTCGGAGGACCTGTGAAAGTACAGACTCCCGGATCTAGATCGGAGGCGGGGGCGGGAGGAAGGAACAAGGAATCTGGGTTTTAACGGAGTACTTGGGAGATGTGCATATTAGATTTTAGAGTCAGGAGATAAAGCAGGAGATTGTAAGTGTCCCGGTTTGTGCCCCTAGCTTTAGGTGCAAAGCGTTCCTGCAGAATTGCTTCCACGTAAAGGGACCTTAGGGAAATTTCGCTGGATACCGGCTATTGACAAACCCAGTGTTCATGGGCCTTTCCAGGTTTGGGGACAGGTTGATCTCGAGTCAACATGTCTGCTTCAGTGAAAGAAAGCCTTCAGCTTCAGCTGCTGGAGATGGAAATGCTGTTTTCTATGTTTCCTAACCAAGGAGAAGTAAAACTTGAAGATGTAAATGCCCTGACTAATATAAAGAGGTATTTGGAAGGCACGAGGGAGGCGCTGCCACCAAAAATCGAATTTGTGATAACGCTTCAGATTGAGGAGCCCAAGGTGGGTGCCCTGATTTATTTTCGGTGTTGCTAGGTGCACAGTTTTTAACTGAAACACCTGGAACGTTATCTTCCTGTTCACCAATAGGGAACATTCCAGATGCATATTTATTTGTTTAAAACCATAAATTGTCTTCAGTAAATATCCTGAATTTTATACGAACATGCCCACCTTTTTAACAAATATATCTAGTGTTTTTATTGAAAATATCTTGCAATCTTATACTACCATTATTATTATGTTCGCTTATCCAGTTTCTTACCAATCCATCTATTGTAGTATGGACTAACTACCTTTTACATATATCATGATTTTCACAAATCTAAATATTGCCTGTAGCAAAACTGGCTTTTAAGGAATAAGTGAATTTTTTTTTTTGATAGCACCATAACACAGAAAGCAAATGTAGATACAAAATCTAAATACTAAAAATGAATTTACCTCCATCTTCTGATCCATTTATCTCCAGCGACATTAGCATAGCATAGGTAACATGTGGACTGGGCAGTTGAGAACCACTGTTTTAGCTGTTTCCTACTCATCCTTCAGTTGTCATTCCCTCAGAGGAGACTTCCTGGTTCCCCAGACTGGATTCTGTCTCGCTGGTTACATACTTCAATGGAACCCTCAATTTTTCCATGGTAATGCTTCTCCCAATTGAAGTGAAATACTTGCTTTGTGTAATTATTTGTTTAATGTGTCTCCTTCACTAGGCTATAGACTTCCTAAAGGGCAGAAGGAGTGTTCAACTTCTTCAGTTCTTGATCCCAGCACAGGGCACCTGGCATGTGTAGTTGTCCAATAAATATTTGAAAGAATGAATGTATAAGTGGAAGGAATAGTGTACGTTCAGGACTTGATACAAAGCTGGCACTTAATAGTAGCAATAACTATTTCATTTATCAAAATCATGCAGTTGCCATTGATAAACCAGCATATGTGTTTTTATGGCCTTTAAATCTATCTGATTTTCATTTTAAGGCGAAAATTGATTTGCAAGTAACCATGCCTCACAGCTACCCCTACGTAGCATTGCAGCTATTTGGACGATCATCTGAGCTTGACAGACAACAGCAGCTACTTCTCAACAAAGGTCTCACTTCTTATCTAGGGACTTTTGATCCAGGTGAGCTCTGTGTATGTGCAGCAATCCAGTGGCTACAAGACAACAGTGCATCCTATTTCCTGAACAGAAAGCTCATGTATGAACCATCTACACAAGCAAAGCCAGTTAAGAACACATTCCTCCGAATGTGGATCTACAGTCACCATATATATCAGCAGGACCTAAGGAAAAAGATTTTGGATGTTGGGAAAAGGTTAGATGTGACTGGATTTTGCATGACAGGAAAGCCTGGTATAATCTGTGTGGAGGGTTTCAAAGAGCACTGTGAGGAGTTCTGGCACACAATTAGGTACCCCAATTGGAAGCACATTTCCTGTAAACATGCTGAAAGCACGGAGACAGAAGGAAATGGTGAGGACCTGCGACTTTTCCATTCTTTTGAAGAATTACTCCTTGAAGCTCATGGTGACTATGGGTTAAGGAATGACTATCACATGAATCTGGGCCAGTTCTTAGAATTTCTCAAGAAGCACAAAAGTGAGCATGTTTTTCAGATATTATTTGGTATTGAAAGTAAAAGTTCAGAGTCATAGGAAGCTATTAAGAGGCCTATGCTTGTAATTTCATTCAGTCAGTATTTCTATTAATAAGACCAAAATAAAAAGGCCAGTGGCTGTGTTGTATCCTCCATGAGAAACCTAGCTCCAGAATTTTCATCTGGTTATGAATTTCAACTAGTAATGAAATGAATAGGCCTTTTGACTTTATAACCATGCAGTTGTGATGTTTTCTGTAGGTTCTTATGTTAAGTCATTTGAAAACTATTTCATTGTAAATTAATAAAAACAATCCATTTAACCAGTGAAGCTAATTTGATGAAAGAGGAGTCCAAAGGCCACAGTTAACGTCAAAAATCACACTGCAGTTATGAATTAATAAATATGAGTAACATTTCTCCCTTTCATGATGCTAGCACACAAGTGATGCACCAAATTTCATTTCATTGTTGGAAATGAATTCTTTTTTTTTTTTCCTTTTTGTCTTTTTTACTGATCGGTAACAGGATCGCAACCCTCAGCGTCGTTCGCAACCCTCGGTGTCGCGCCCGTACCAGGGACTGGCAACAGGATCACAACCCTCGGTGTTGCGCCTGCACCGCGCTCAGCCAGTGAGCAGGAACCAGTCTCCACATTGGATCCGAACCCTTGGCGGGAGCGCCGCTGCGCTCCCAAGTGGCACACTCTCCAGTGCGCCACCAGGCTGGCCCGGAAATGAATTCTAAATCAGGTTTAAAATGAGAACAAAGAGCATGTGTTTACTTCATTTCTTTAAGTTCAATGCCTATTTTGAGTTTTTTCTTTTAGTAAAAGTAGATTCTAATAGCAAAGACAAAGGAGTTACAGTAATGAAGTCTCAAGAGTAATGAAGACAACACGTGCTGTGTATTCTTTTTCTAGCTGTTTGCTAGAACAGTTGGTTAATTGATACCAATATTCTCAGTTCAGTTTTTATCCACAAAAACATACATGGTTTCTTGTCTACAAAGTGTTCCCCTGGTTTCATCCAACCTTTGCCCATGTGCCAGTTTGCATTACTACATAGGGCAAGAGAGTCTTGAGAAGGTCCAGCATGCATGGCTTTACCATCACCTTATTGGCGGGGGTGGAATCAAATTCTACATTTTGATGATAAGTCACCACCATCTCTTCTGAAAATTCAAAGCTCCACAGACTTCACCAGCCATTTTCAAAATGAGAGTTTATTTCAATGGTTAAAACCCCTATTTAAGTAGCTCTTGCCAAGCCTTTTCATCACAAGGATTCCATCCTTCTTCAAGAGGTTCTGGGAGTCTCACGGTGCTTAGGGATGTCAAGAGCAGCCTGCAGCGTTCCATTTCCATGGTCTCTCCTTAGCTACTGCTGCCCTTTGCCGGGAAACATTCCATTCTTCTGCTGGGTCGCAGGCACTCCACTGATGTCCTGGTCCCCTCAGGATGCTAAAGCTGGGTGCTGGCAGTTAGTCACATGGAGGGGAATGCCTCACTCCCCATTTTGTGACACATCCCGTTAAATGCTAAACAGTGCTGCATGTGCTGGAGAGCTTATAGGACTTCTGATAAGACAGTAGTACCTTCTAGTTTTCCACTTTGTGCCCAGGATGCAGACGTGTGTCCTTGTGCTAGGGAGAGGACATAATGGACCAGCAAACCCTGCACTAATCGGACTCCCTTGGAACTAGGTCCACTTGGTCCTACCTGCTTACTTCGTAGCTCAGAATGAGTTTCCTCTCAGGGCGCAACTCAGATGTTCAGGCCAAGGCTCATTGTGGATCTGCCCTGCCAGATATCCAGCTGGCCCATTTATGTTTTAATCCTAGCCTTGGATGTGGCTGAAATTCAAGCTTGGGCCTCACACTTTACCTACATACAAAGGGAGGAAATACAACTTATGTTGCCAAAGACTCATTTTTCATTGTTACCAGAACTGAAAACAACATAGTATAGGAGTTATTTGCCCACATAATCTCCCCAAAGCCATCAATAAGTATAATTAACATTCACAAGTATTTAGGCCTTCAATGGATGTAGCTCTATTAACCGTTTTTTCCTTTGATGATTTTCTGACAGAGTTAATGTAATGCTAGACAAAAACAATCTGTATTGCTGCTTATTGAGATAGAGCAAACTGCTTCAAGTGCTTTACTTACTTGAATAAAGAAAGCATTGATCAAATCAATAGATACCTACTGATTTGCTCAAAAAAAGAGAAATTGTTCAACAGCAGCTGCAGTTGGAATCACCACCTAATTAAGCTTGTGAATCTGTGCACTCTTTCTTAGAGACCCATCTATCTCCTGCATATGCCAAAGATCATGTTAAATAGAGATGTGGTAAGAATCACACTCCTGTTTTTTTTTAAAGCTTCTGATGTTTGGACTTATCTCTGCAAATCTCTTGGTACTTCCTGCCAGAATAACCCTTTATTTATGGATCAGGGATCCAATGTAGAGATATTGCCATAGAACATAAATCAATTCTAACTCTTCATTGGGAAAATAACTGGAGGGTGGGTTCATTCCTGTAGCATACACTTTGTCCCATAGACCACCGTGGTTTCAGAGACTCCAGAAATTTATATTTGTTCAGAGCTGTTTCCAGATGACCTCCAAAAGGCCGCGTGGTTTCCTTTCTGCAGGGCATTGTTAACCTAGTAAATGGGAGCCTCAAAGGAAGATTTTGGAAACATTTTTATATTACTACAGAGTTCTTCCTCTTAGGGGTCTTTCATATCTGTGTGTCAATTTGGTGACACTCTATCTAGATGGCTCAAATCAGGCTTTTCTGCTGTTATACATATTAAGTAGGACCTACATGGGTTGCCTGCGTATTTGGTCATAAGCCAGGCTGGTATTCAGCTGTTATGTACTGGTATGAGTGCATCACTTTTTAACAATGGCATTCATTTTTCTTGGTCAGTGCCTATGCTGCCTAGTTGTTAATTTTTTGAACATCATCATTTCAGGCCAAAGGCTCTGTGATTAACTATCCACCACCAAAGATTTTTGTGGGCTGAATATTCTAATTCCACTGGACCTGCTCCTATTATGATAACTATTTCCACCTTGTCTCCAGTTGTTAATTGGCTGCTACTATCAAGCCTCTACCAACTCCAAGACTCTGATGTCTTCATTGAAATATGAAAGCTATTTTAACCATAGCATTTCCCACAAGCCTTCCCAGCTTACAGAGGAGTCATTAAAATACTTTTTATGGATGCTGATATTTCCCTCACCAAGGCCTTAGTGAAAGGAGTGTCACTGAAAGATTCTCTCAGGAGACTTAGGGAATGATTAAAATTAGGATGGTCAGATTGCACATGACAATCCCACACTAACATTCCTATCTTTGTAAATCTTTTAATTCCATTATGTTACTCCAAGGAATGCTTGCATTCTCAATTTCATTTAATGTGGATCATTATTAAGTCCATGTTTTACTCAACTGACTGAACTAACAAGTAGAATTACCTCTAGCTGATCAAGGCAGCACACTGAATCCAGAATCTGTGGTTAGTGCACCCCTATCAATCAATTCTGCCCAATCCCAAATTACATTTCGCCTTCCTTAGTGTAACATTCTTCGAATCCTGCACATTTTCCCTCAGGTTTTTGCCAATATCTATGAGCAGAGTCTAGAATTCTTTTGGCGTGAATCTTCTCCTCCTGGGTTTGCCTTTTGAATTGAATCTACCACAGCCACTCTCCATGCTGGAATCTGACTTAATGTGTATAGAAACAATGAGAAATAATGTGGGAGGAGCATGAGGTAAGTCAGTTTCCCTTTGCCTGGTAATTATTACCTCAGGTGAGGTCATGACAAGGCACGCCCTCAGACAAAGGAAGGCGGTAACAACCTCTTTACACAGGGGGAGCCTGTGTTGACTAGCGAGGGAGGATATGTCAACTATCCTAGTTTGCCCAAGACTGAGTGTTTAATTCACTTGCATTTCATATAATTACCAGTTGGGTTTAAATCTACCATCTTGCTATTTGTTTTATACTTATTCCAGGAGTTAAGCTGTTGATTTATGTTCTTTGTTCCTCCTCTATCCTTCTTTTGGATCAATCAAGTATTTTTCAATTATTGTGTTTTATTTCCTCTATTAGCTTTTTAATTCTATATTTTAAAATTATTTTTAGTGATTATTTTAGAGGTTACAATACTCCCTTAATTTATTCTAGTATTCCTTGAATTACTGTAACATACCTTAAATTCTAAGGTTTGTAGGTTGTTCATGGAGAGGCACATTACTTGCTATAATATCCCTTGAATTAATAATGTACCACTTTAGGAATAATGTGGAAACCAAACAATAATATAATTCCACTAATCCTCCTTCCACCCTTTGTCCTACGTTTACCATATATTTCACTTCTACATATTTTATAAACATCACATACATTATTATTTGTATCAGTCAACAGTCTAAAACAGTTTTGTAAATGGTACTTTATATTTCCCATACATTTACCCTTTCCAGTGCTTTTCATTTCTTCGCACAGATCCATGATTCCATCTGGGATCATTTTACCTCATCCTGAAGAACTTCTTTTAGTGTCTCTAGTAGTGTAGCTCTGCAGGCCATGAATGAATGGTTTTCATTTGTATGAAAGGTCTCTATTTTGCATTCATTTCTGAAGGATGTTTTTCTCTGTGCGTAGAATTCTACATTATCAGTTTTATTCCTTTAGAGGATTTTGCGGGGAGTTTTATGGACAAGTAACTTCTACCTACATTCCACTGGCTAAGACTCAGTCACATGGCCATAAGGGTTTGACAAGAGAAAATGAGATACACGTCTTTCTGTTGGCTCTCATTTTTTCCTACTAAGTCTGCTGTCATTCTTGTTGTTCCTCTGAAGGTATTGTGGGTCTGTTTTCTTTGGCTGCTTTTAAGACTGTCCCCTTATTTTTGGTTTTCAGCAAATTGATTGAGTTATTTCTACATATGTTTTTTTGTATTGTTCCTGTGGTGATTGCTAGCTCTGAATCTGTCAGTGGAGGTTTTTCATTAATTTGAGAAAATTCTTGGCCATTATCTCTTCAAATATTTGTTGTGCTCCAATGTCTCTCTTCTCTCCTTCCAGCACACCAATAGCACATATATTAGATCGTTTCATTCTAGGCAACATCTCTCTCACTCTCCTTCTCTCTTGTTGTTCTCACTCTATGCTTCAATTTGGGTAATTTCTAATGACCTGCCTTTGAGGTTATTGATCTTTTCTTCTGCTATCTCCGGTCTGCTGTTAAGCCCATCCAGTGAATTCTCAATTTCAGATATTTTATTTTTTAGATCTAGAATGTACATTGAATCCCTTAGGTATTCCATTTTTCTGATAAAGTCATCCATCTTCCATTTTTTCTTTTTCTCTAATTTTATTAATATGACAGTAAGAGTTATTCTTAAATCCTTGTGTGGCAATGCTTCTGGGTGATCTGTCAATCTACTGCTATTGATTAATTTTTCTTCTTGATTAGGGATCACATTTTGTTGTATACTGAACATTGTCTTGAAAAAAATTCTAGGGACTGGAATAAATATTTTTTCTGAGAGAGGGCACATCGTGTCATCTCTCATGGAGCTATGGTGAGAAGCTGAGTACTTGAATCAGGAGTTAAGCTGGATCAGGGCTGGATTGCAGCTTTAATTAGTTTCAGTGGACTTATAAGAGCAAGGCCTGTCTTCTGTGTATTACTGGAGTGGGCCCCTATTGTTCCATATATAGTTTAGAATATGTTTATTTACTTCCTTGGAAACGTTAACAAAGAATTGGATTTGTGGTAGAGATAATACTATGTGTTCATCAAATCTGTTTTATTTTGTAGACCTGGGGCCTTATCTCACTTCCCCTTCCTATATAATTGGAGCCATGTGACCTACTCTTAGCCAATGGAATGTAAGAAGAAATGATTTGTGCATAAAACTCCCTGCATAATCCTCTGTGCTTTTTTTATCCTTTTGGAGGCCCCATGATAAAGGTGGTGGCATTACAAAATGGAAGGGCCCTCACTCCCAACTAACTGCATTAGATAGTGATGTGAGCAAGCATTATGCTTTTGTTGTGTGAGCCTTGACATTTCAGGATTGTAGCAGCAGTTAGCCTAGCCTAACCTATATAATATTGCATTGAATTTATGGATCATTTCTAGATAGAAATAACTTCCTAATAGTAATGCATTCCAATTAAGAGCATAGTCTCTCCATTTATTCATGTTTTATATATTTTAATAGAATTTAATTTTTTCTTCATACAGGATTGTATCATTTCATTCCTACTGTAATTATGAATTATAACTTTTTTTTTGCTTGTAATTTCTAGTTGACTATTGCAGGTATAGAGAAATGCTACTGATTTTTGCAAGATGATTTTGTAATATGGCAAACTTGAATTCTCTTACTATTAACTTCAGTAGTTTGTAATACTGCTGGTTGTGTATATGCAGATATTATCTGCAAAAATGGCAGTATTATCTCTTCCATACCAATCTTATACCTGTTATTTTTCTTTCCCATAGTTCTGCCTATGACTTCCTCTTAGCTTATCTTAAACAGTAACAGTAGTGGGCTGCCTTATTTTGTTCCTGATCTTAAAGGGAATGAATTAAACATTTCTCTAGAGTATAATAACCAAGTTAAGGAAATTTCCTTCTATCCCTAGTTTCCTAACAGTTTTTTAAAATCATAAATGTTGAGCTTAAATATCTTCCCTGCATCTATAGAGATGAATTATGATTTTCCTCCTTTATTAATATGAATTATGACTATAGATCTGCTGATAGTGAAATCCTTGCATTCCAAGATAAGCCCTACTTGATCATGACATCTACTTTTAAATACATCATTGGATTTGGTTAGCTGTATTTTAAGATTTTTGCATCTATGTTTATAAATAAAATAGCTCTAAAATTTTCTTGTTTTCAGTTCTTCGTATTTTATGCTCTCTCTCCTTGAGATATTTGCACATGCTTTTATCCTCTGTTTGAGATACTTCTCTCTCCTAACACCACAGACGCACACACAAACACACACATTATACACACATACCACCTGGCTAGCTACTACTTATTCTTTACCCTCCAGGTTACTGCTTTAACATTTCTTACCTTTCCTGACTTCTCCCCCTTACTATCTCATTTATTCCTTCCATGTGCTCCAGTGGCATTTCACATTTCCTCACTTAATACCAAAGTGAGTATTCTATAAAAATTTGTTAAATTAATTTTCCTATTTTGGGCCTATGCTCCCTAATTTGTATGGCTGGTTTATGAAGAGGAGCTGGCACAAATTTTTGAGGCTTTATTTACCAAAATACTTTTGAGTGAACATTTCCGATAGGCTTAAGTTCCATTTCTCTAATGGAAAGACAGTATTACAGCTATTGGGATATAACTGTCTCTTCTAGACCTGCACTATCCAATATATTGATCACTAGGCAGATGTGGCTATTGAGCACTTATGGCTAGTCTGAACTGAATTAAAATGTAAGTGTAAAATATGTACTGGATTTTGAAGACTTACATGAACAGAATAATGTAAAATATATCAATAATTTTATATTGATTACATGTTGAAATGATATTTTGAATATATTGGTTTAAAAATATATTATTAACATGAATTCCACCTGTTTCTTTTTTCTTATGAAGCTACTAGAAAATTTAAAATTATGCATGGGACAGTACTGTTCTAGACTGTAGCCTAGTGAAAGGAGAATAGAATAGAAAGAAAGATAAACATGGATTTAGAGCCTGCCTCCTTCACTTATTAGCTCTGTGCACTTGGCAGATTACTTAAAACATCAAATTCATAAAGAAATTATGGGGATTACATTAAATATGACCATGTGGAATACTTGACACTTAGTAACTATCTAATGCTTATTTCGTTATCTTTCCCTGAGGACAAGGAAGTAGCTCACACATCACCGTATCCAGCATATATGATTACATACATGTTAAATGAATGAAGTTCATACTGAAATTAGCAGTTATTAGAATATTTTAAAAATTTATGATACCTTGTCATATGACCCCCAAGACCCAGCAGTATCATTTTTAAGTGTAATGATATTATAAAGAAAAAAGAATTATTTTATAATTTTATTCACTCACTTTTTCTATGCTTTAATAAATCTTTTGCATAGGTAAATACATTTGGTTAGAGCCATCAGACAACATGGAAACAGACAAGAAATAGCGAGGTATTCTGAATCTTTTCCAAATAACTATATTGAGGAAACTCTTAACTAAATGCTACCTTGAGAAATACCCAAACCCTTCTACTCACACCTAAAACAATGTGTGTAACCTTCAACTTCAATAAAATCATTTTATAGTATAGTTTTTCTTAAACTCTTATACTTTTAAAGCATTACTTCAAAAACAGAAAATTCTACAGATAATTCTACAAATAAATAGCAAATGTAAAGCACCTGAGCTTAAGATTTTTAAATTGTTTCCACTAGTTCAATCATTAATTTCTAAAATAAATCAATACAATCTGGGGATGTAACTACTCTTTCTCATAGAATGGCCTTAGTAATTAAAATATTTAAATATCTGATGTAAAGATAATTTCTGGCATTGGGGATGTGGTTATAAAACTTTCTCCAAACTCAGAGGAAAGTGAGGTTATATTATACACTGTGAGCTCCCAGTTATCTGAGCTAATCAAAGAGACATTAAAGAAGGTCACTCAAGTAGGGACCCAGCTTGTCTGGGAACCACAGTTTTGTTCCTGACTTTTGAGATATTTGTCTTAAGAGGTCAGATCCTTTCTAAAGGATCTTTACTCTCCTTTCAGCCCTTCTCACTGCTCAGGCCACACTGAACTGAAGGTACCAAACTCTGGACAGGGGCCAAAGTTCACAAACAACAGTAAGGAGCTGAAGGATAGGGCATTTATTTGGTCAATGGGAAATTAAGGTGCTTTAAGAAGGGATTTCTAATGAGGACCAAGTGATAAGAGCTTTACCCTGTAAGATATAACAATAACAAAAGAATACTGAAATCTAAGGCTGCATAAGGCATTGTAAACAGCGGTGATCTTTCTCAGAAATGTTAGAATTCAGTTGCACAAAAAGAACAAATATATTTAGGACTGGAATAAAAATACCTGATAAGTTATTTTTCTGAAGGCAACTAAGGGGTATTTCTGTTTTAACAAAAGTTCATCAATGCCTAAATTCGCTTCTTCTGTCTTTATTTAAAAAGTGGATTTTAACAAAATGATCAACAAAATTATGGATTTTAGTGTTGATCATATCAACTTCTTACAAATTTTGTTTTTTCTATTAGTTTCCTATATAAAAACAATGAGTTTCTCAGTGGTAAGTACAATAGCTTTTAAAGAGAACTTGGGCAGAATAATTAAGTAGAAACTATAAATAACCAGAAAGCAAATAAAACAAAATTGTCTACTATGATGTTTATCCTAATTTGTATTAATATTCTTCCATAAATTTTTAGATTGTTAAAGTAAAATTATCTTAATCTAAGCATACTATGAATCATTATAAAGGATTCCAACATTTAAAAATTATGAAAGACTTCGAAGATCTCATTAATGGAGTTAGCAATGTCAGCTATTACGCTACTGGTCAACTTTGGACTGTATTCTCTGCACCTCTTTAGGCCAAGAATAACAATCAGGTAGAATCTGGTCATAGTCAGAGCTATACATCTGAGAGCAAACAAATGCTTCTTTGTTTTGTGGTTCAGGATAAACTGTGGCTGTCTTTTCTTGGTATGCATCTTTAACAATCTAGAAATAAGAAAAGAAAATTATTTTAATGAATAGAGGTGATAGTAAGCAAATGTCAGTAGAACTTTATCTGTTTCAAAAATTAATTTATAATTTATATCTTGACTTTCAAAAATAAGTGTATTTTAATAAAAGCACACATAAACAAAGAAGACATAAAATGAAAATGCAGTTATAAATCATGTAGCAAGAGGGGAAATGATACCAGCAACTAAGGGAAGTGTGAACAGTAGAGACTTATTCAAGTGTGATCATACTAGGACTTCTCAGAGAAGCCAGTGTTAGAAGTCTTGACATGACCTGACTGATAATTAACTTGAACTAAATACCTGAATATTCCTGCTAAGCTTGAGCCTTGAATTTTCAAGAATTCCTATTCTGACCACAGCCTTCTACAAAATCTCTTCATTCATTCCAGGGTCTTCTGATTCTGTTCACCTTATGAGCTGGACTCCATAGTTCCGGACAGCGTCACAAAATCTCTTGTCTCCACATCCTGTGTTACACACACCATTCTGCTCCCTCATCTGGGGACCCCTCAGTTTGCTTTTCTCCTTTTATGGCTGTCCATTAAGAACCACACATGAATTTTCTGTGGTATCAAACTTTTCCTACCTTACTTAGGTCCATGCGGTTGCACATTATACTTTTATCCTTTTTAAAAAATCTTTCTCTCGTAGTTCCTAAAAGGCAATTCTACACCTTCCCCCTGCCTTCATGTCTCCATTTGACTCTCATCACTCTACTGAGAAAATTCCAAGTACTTAGGGAAAACTATCTCGATTTCCCTTTTCACCAACTCCAACTATCTCCTCTATATCTTCATACATTCTCTCTTTCCCTACTTTCTTTGAGAAAAATGATAGATTCTCTGTCTTGTCAAAATTAATCACTCCATATGTGCTATTTAATTCACCCCATTTCTAAAAAACAATCATAAGGAGCAACTGTATGATTGACTTATTTGGATAAGTCTAATTTAAAAGCATATTAGAATGCTAAAGTGTCTCTTCTCAATGTAAAATTATGTATTTATGAGCAATTATGGTTATAAAGATTGTGCTATATTATGAAAAAATGTCTACAAAAAAGCAGAAAACAAAAGTATATATATAACTGTAATTATAATAATGTTAGAAAAGAAAGGAAACAAATGAAAAAAAGACTAGAAACAACACATGAAAATAACAATAATGCTTATATTAAAAAGTAGAATATTGGTTATTTTCCTCTTCTCTATCTTCCTGGAATTATTACTTTTTGAACAGTTTTGCTGAAGTATCACTTACCACAAAAATTAACCATTTTAAGTGTACGATTAAATCATTTTTGTAAATTTACAGAGTTGTGCAACCATTACCACATTCAGTTTTAGAACGTTTCCATCACCCGAAAAAGATCCCTTGCGCCTGTTTGCAATGGCTATATTACTTTTATAATAAAACACATTGTTTTATTACTGATACAGATGATGAGGAGACTCAACTCCTCTTTCTGCTCCCAGGTGTACTATAGTAACGATCCCCCCTCTCAGTAAAATCTTCACTCTCTCCTTTTTGTCAATGCCAAACTCTCTGGAATAGTGGCTTATATTTTATTGCTTTCCTAATTCTCCCACCTTCTTAACTTTTTATACTACTGAAATTGCTTTTGTAAAAGTCTCTGATAATTTCCTAAGTACCAAATAAAAGTCATTATCTATTTTTCTCTCCAGGGTTTGGTTCTATTGATCACAACTTTCACTCCCATCCTGAAACTATTTCTGACATCTCAGCTCTGAGTCTCTTAAAAATCCTAACCACTTCTCTTAACTGGCTTCTTTCTACTGCCTTTTAGACAGAATAATAAACTATATTCTACCCTCAGTTTTCTTTCCTTTCTATACTTGCTGTCTTCACAAACCCAACCACTCCTAGAGCTTCACCTGTTACCACATGTAGATGACTCCCAGATCTTTATATCTAGCCTCTCGTTAAATTTCAGTCATTTCCATCACTTTTTAGAATTGTAAATCTGAATGTCTCATTGATACCTCAAACTTGCAGTTCACTTGTATCATCTTGCTCCTTGAAGTTGCCCCTTTGTTCTGATTTCCCAGTTTCTGTCTGCACTAAGCATTCTTCCGCTATTCTAAGTGTAACATCTGGATCTTTTTGCACTCCCTTTGCTATCCCCCTCCAACCACTGTCTTATATTTTCCTCTAATAATATGCTAAATCCTTTTCATTTAAATCTTCAAAATAAACTTAAAATGATAATATGCTGTTCAGTATATTAATAGTTCAAACTAGTTAAAAACTAGTAGATATATTAGTAGTAGAAAATATGAGCATATTCTTTCATAAATAGATAACCAAGCAGATTATTATCTAGTTTTTTTCAAGGATTATTTGTTTTTTGAAGAATCTACCTTCAATCAATAAGATAAATAATGACATGAATGTTAAATGGTGGTGTTTAGATAAACTTGATAGTAGCTTAAACTGGTGATTTTCAACCAAGAGCAACTTGGTCCCCAAGGGGATACCTGGCAATGTCTGGAAATATTTGTGGTTGTTACAGCTGAGCAGATGCTATTGACATCTAATGGGCAGAGACCAGGAATAATGCTAAACATTCTATAATCCCCCATGCAAAGTGTCCGTAAGTGCTGAGGTTGATTCCATTTTGCATCCTGCCAAAATGTCCATAGTGCTGAGACTGAGAAACCCCTGTTTAAACACATAATGACTGCTATGGACTGAATTGTGTCCCCTCCAAATTCATATGTTGCAGCCCTAACCACTAGAACCTCAGACTGCTGTATTTGGAGATAGGGCCTTTAAAGAGAGAATTAAATTAAAATGAGGACGTTAGGGTGGGCCCTAATCCAATTTGACTATAAGGGGAAATCTGGACACCAGACACACCAAGGATGCGGAGATAGGGCCTTTAAAGAGAGAATTAAATTAAAATGAGGACGTTAGGGTGGGCCCTAATCGAATTTGACTATAAGGGGAAATCTGGACACCAGACACACCAAGGATGCACACACACAGAAAGAAGATCACGTGAGGACACAGCAAGAAGACACCATTGGCAAGCCTAGGAGAGAGGCCTCAGAAGAAAACAAACCTGCTGAAATCTTGATCTTGGACTTCTAGCCTCCAGATCTGTGAGAAAATAAATTTCTATTGTTTAAGCCACCGAATCTATGGTATTTAGTTACGGCAGCCCTGCAAACTAATACAACTACATTGCAAAAAAGTCTTTTTCTCTCTCAGTTTAGTTACAGAAAATTGGCTGAAGTCCTAATTGCATTCCTATATCCAGACAATATTCTCCTAGAGGCTGGATCCTGCTTTACTTATTGACAAGGGTCTAGTTTAGACACAAACCAAGCTTCCTGGGACCACAGCTCTGCTACCCTTCCACACAGCTATTTATGTATTTTGTTGCCATCTAAAGACTCCTGCTTGCCCAACAAACCAAACCTCTTGGCTATTGACAAATCAGATTGCATGGCCATCTGAACATTCTCTTTGGAACTGTTAGTCCCCTTCTTTGAGGTCTAGCCCTTCAGACAGTTACATGCTTTTAGCCAAGTCCTACCAATCCAGCTTACTCCCCTCTGTCCCAACACTCCTACACAGGAAACCTGGCCAAATCTCCACTGAAGACTGAGAGTCAGGCCCTGCAGTAGTTCCTGACTCTAGGGGCCTCAGTGTGGTCACCATCTATGATCGCTGCCCATTGCTATTAAGCTCTACTCTTATGACCACCTCTTGAGGCTCTCATCTAATTGAGGATCTTGAAAAGCAAGGAATGGTGGACAACTTCCTGAACCATCTCATCTGAAAAATCCTGGGGCACATCATACATTAACACCATCTGTGCACAAAATTCAAGAAGTGGGGGTTTGATTGATTGTACTGTACACTTGACACACATCAGCTCTGTGTATAGATACCTGATGCTTCTGGACAAAAGTAGTGCTATGCTGGGAAGGCACAACTCCCTAAAATGTTAAGAATATCCAGTGATAATCAGTGTTTGCCACAATCGGTAATTACCAGCCCTCTGTTCCCTGCTGTTTGGTGCTGATGTATGTCCCCATAATGGATCTCCTGAAGAAAGATCAGTTATTCTTTATTTCCTAGCAGCCATCAAGGCCTCTCAGAATATGAACTGCCATTATACTTTGGCTTTGTTCCTGTAGAATTGTGCTAACTTTAACAATTCTTAAGCCAGCTAGGACCTTACTACTCTCATCCTATAAGCACCAAGAAACAGATCTTTTTACCTATCAGTGCCTCGCTAACCACTGTGCCAATCCTTATTTGCATTCACAAGGGGTCTACTTTATCAACAGCTTGCTTTACATCTATATTACTCCATAATGCTCCTACGACAAGGAGACCTGAATGCACATATTCCAATTATGGCAAGAAATTCCCACTGCAGTACTAGGATTGTATGAGATTCTCTAACAGGTAGGTGTATTTGAACTTTGAGTGACTCTGGTATTACATGGAGGTAATCCAATCTATCTCAACCTATCCTGTAATAAAGGACTAACCCAATGGTGAAAAAAAATGAAATGGAAGGAGCCTGGATGAAAGGAAACCCTCATGAATTATTTAAATTATGGTAAAGAAAAAATAAAAAAGAACAATAGGGGAATTAATGATTCAGCCCAATTCTTCATTTCTATGGATAAAGTGTAGCTCCTAAGATCTACCAAGTTGCTGTACCTAATATCCCTGACTTCTCACATAATAAGTTAATACACATAAGTTGATACAGATATACATTTCAAGAAAGTGGATTTTTAGTATTTAAAAATGTATATTTAGGGGCCGAGCCCGTGGCGCACTCGGGAGAGTGCGGCGCTGGGAGCACAGCAGCAATCCCGCTGCGGGTTCGGGTCCTATATAGGGATGACCGGTGCGCTCACAGCGCTCACTGGCTGAGTGCGGTGCGGCAGGTCTCAAAAAGGACAAAAAAAAAACACATGCTGT